TAAAATGGAGAAAGTCACAGATTAACTCAGTCACAAAGCTTCACATACAGCGGACTGTAAAAGTATTTGCACCCCATAAACTATCACATTTTGCTTCGCTACAAACACATCAGAAAATACTAGAAAAGTTTTTTCCACATTAATTTGCTGATCAAAATGGAAACGTGTCTGGTACTTGTATTTGTAAAATACATAAAGTGTAGCTGGTGTTCCTGAATGAAGTAATTTAATCCCAGTTTAAATCCAGCAGTCAAAGCTACCAAAGCATATCAATGTGTTAGAATGGTCTAGTTAAAGTCCAGACATTCATCCAGCTCAGGCTCCAAGATTTTCTCAATTGATGTTTAGATGCTCTCTGTCTCATCTGAAAAAAAAAGCTAACTTCAAAACAAATTCCTAAAGACTCACAGCTTTAATCAAAGCAAATGATGTTTCTAAAGTATGGACCTGAGCAGGAGGATGTGAGCCACACTTTTCAGATTTTTTATTGCAGAGACATCAGAAGGGAACATGCAACCTTTTCTTTCCACTTTGTGATTACACACTAACTTGTGTTACTCCATCACACAAAATCTCAATAAAACACATCAAACTTTGCAAAACACATCACTGCTAAGGCTCCTGGTAATCCAACAGCTCTCGCACATGTCTACTTAATGCACCTAATGCTTAACGAAATGAACTAATAAATGCAAATCTGGTACTTTTGGTTTGAACTGCTTCAACAGAAGAGACCCACTTCATTTGGGGCACATCTTATGTTGCAACAGGAACTTTGGAACAGCTTAAAAGCACCAAAGTGTGCTTTACAGAGACTGAAAGGGTAAAAGCTGCTTCTCTATGTGACTAATAAAAGCTCCCTGTTCTTTATCACAGCGACGGTTTTATTATTGCAGCTGCAGCAGATGCACAATAAGATCTGCATTCGTGTTCACGTCTCTTTGTGTCCCCCCAACAAAGACAAGTCTGACACTCAGTTTTCTTCCAGCTGGACCTCTGGTATCTGTCAAAGAGAAAAATTGCTACCAGCCTTGCAGCCTGGCGATCAACATGTAACATCTGTTTCTAAGAAAACAGCTCTATGATTCTAGAAAGTATCGATTTGAAGTTTGAGTTTGACCTGGCGATGGCTGGTCTTTTGTTTACTTATCTCTGCTTTTCATTCGTCAATGCAAACAATTTGATCTCTAAAAACAGTTGGTTTTTAGAGATCCCCTCTTGTTATTGTTAGATTAAAAATAGAAGCAGTTAGCAGTTAGTGGTACTTGACATGCTATTGTTGGTGAAGAGTTGAGAAATTAACCCTCTCAGGCTCAAATTACTTGCAAAGACTAGCTAAGTAGCACTGAGCTGTTGCAAATCTGCAACATCTGCCTGGAGAGGGTTAAACCGAAAAAATTAGCTCCGGTTTTTCAAACAGAAGCCTTCTGGAGTTTGATGAAGGGATTGATCTCAAATAATTGAATCAATTTTGAAGGATGTCACAGTCAGTCGGGCCTGGGTTTTTTTTTTTCTACAGTAGTAAAAGCCGAATATGGACCATGAGGATGAGTGGGCAGAACTGACAGACAAGGTCAGTGCAAACAGCACAACAGGGTGTGAAAAGGTCAGGAAAGAGGGTGAAAGGAGGCAGGCTGCGTTTATAAAAACAAGAAGGAAACAGAGGAACTGTATTTGCATTATTTCTGACATTGCCTCAGAGTCTTCTATGGTTAATGGACAGGCAGCCTGGAGAACTCCGGACGGCGTCTGCTGTCTAGGAGCTTTGCAGCATAATATGAACCCCCAAAGCTCCTCCATCCTGCAGATTCAGAGTCTGTCAGTTTTCCCTGTTTTTGCTTCCTCCCTGCACCTCCCTGTGACCCAGTTCTGCCGCTCTGCTGCACACATCATCACAGGTCCCACTGAGATCCTCCTCCCTCAGACCCTTCCTCTCTCACATGGAAATGTGTGCACTCACCTGAAAACACACACATCGATTCCTGTTCTTGGAAGGTTGGTTATAAATAAAGCACAGCTTGGGTCAAAGACACCAGAGTTACAAAACACGAGTCCGGCCTGAAACACCATGACTGATAAGAGTCTAGAAGTGTTCACACAACTTAACTTTTCCACTATTTGTCATATTACAACCCAAAGCTACTGTGCATTTTAATGATGTTTTATGAACAGAGACGGTAATGCATAACAGGTACTCTAAACAGGCAAATATGTTGTTTATATTTTCCATAAGATGTGCGTAGTGTAGTACTTATGGTTACTCATGCAAGTGAAGCCACACTACTCCCATATTGGCTTCTCTACAAAAATCGGTTTTATTGTCTGTTTTTAAGTCTATAAATTGACTTGTGCCTCTACACCTGAATGACCTTTTGACTCTACATCCTGGAATCAAACCACTTAGTTCTGCTGAATAAACAGGTCGGTGTCTGGTTTTTATGAGAGCTGCTCCTAAATACCACCTATCCAGTAGTTTTTGTTTTCGGTTCAAGACTTGTTTTTTAAGCTAAATTCTTAATTTTGTTGGGTTAATTGTACAACTTAAGTCTTTTAAGTCTTTAAAGACTTTAAAGTCTTTTTAAAGTCTTTTAAAGGGTATTTTAATAGTCCCTTTATAAGACTATTTTAAAGGGACGACGTTTTATAAATAACTTGCTTTCGATCAGATTTTTCCACCAACTCTGCAGCTGCTCCAGAGTTACCAGAGTTATTTCTCCGATTACTCTCTTAGTTGAACCACTGTGCCATGGCAGTTTTATATTTGTACCAAACTCTCTCCATTTTCAGATGATAATCTGATAGATCAGTGATCTATGAGATGCTTAAAGCTCAGGATATCTAATAATTTGTATCCCAACTTTAAGATTCTCTGCTTATTTTCCCTTTAACTGTCTGTTGTGTTTTTGGCGACACTGTTTGTTCCCCAAACTCCCTAACAAACCTCTAAGCCCTTCAAACAACAGTTTAATAACTCTGATTAAATTAAGACAGTTAAGGTTAATTTAGTGGTAGCAGTGCAGAAGAAGCTTTTCAGATGCTTTATTAAGAAAAGTTTTGAAAACAATGTGTCATTTTCGTCTGTTCTATGAAATCTGAATAAAACAAAGTTTGCAGCTAGTTTGTGAAAATGACTGTGTTCTAGGTTAGGAGTAATTTTTCAAGGTGCTGTATGTAATCAGGTTGAAAACCTGGTTTCTGGTCCAACACTGACTAAAACCCAGCATCATTAACATGTAAAACAACAAACTGATGCATTTCAAACTTTAACACATGTTACTGTTGACTGAATTTGGTCAAATCTCTTGTTCACCTGCAAATAAGGAAACATGTGCAAATTATGTACATTTTAAGAAGTCATCCTACTCAGTGTTAAATATTTTTTATCACTTGAGGAACTTTTTGTATGAACATACATATCTGACGCTGAATTTCCCCTCTGGACAATATAAAAGCTATTTCTAATGTATTCTAAGCGACTGATCAACTTACCCATTTTCATTAAACCATCAATCCTGCAGTTCCAGTCCTCGTTTTAATTTGCTGCTTTTACTTGTGTAATTTATCCTTCTCAGTTCCAAAGTTGAGCGCTCGTCTTTCACTGAGTCCCATCTCACCAGAACGAGCCTCTTCGCTCAGTTTTACCCTCTGACCCCTGTCTCCTCCCACTCACACTATTTGCATTAGACCTGAGTGGGTCAATATGATGCTGAAACTGTCAACGCTTTGAGTCAACAAACCCACGATGGTACCAAGACAGCAGGATGCCCTATAGCATATGTACCAAACGTAAGGCTCGTGGGCCAGATCCAGCCCGCCATGGCTTTATATGTGGCCCTCCGGGTCCTAGACTAAACACTAAATGTTCTTAAATATTATGTTATCAATCAAATCATTGCAGTTTTTATTTGTTTACTGCTAAATAATATCAATCAGTTCCTGCTGTTTCTTGAGAATTATTGTGGAAATCCACAGAAAAGGAACAAATCCCCACACTTTGTGTGCTTACAATTCTGAGTTTATTGCAGATATTTCTGAAAAATTGTCAAAAAACCTTCTTACTTGAACTAACCAACTGCCTCAGCCTTAACTGATGTCAGACTTATAGTCCATATAGTCCACTGTATTATTCCACGAACACGATCTGCTGCTAAGAAGTAATTGGAAACATTATAATTATAATTCTGTTTTTGATAATAAAAACAACATTTTGACCCAATCCATATATTTTTTTTCTTAATGATGTTTCAACTGGGAGACCTTTTTAACAGGCAGCTTTTGCATAAAAATAAAACTTGTAATTACTATTATTATTTTTTACATTTCAGTAATTTTCCTGCAAGCTTTGTTTACACTCGAAGCAGCAAATTGCCATTTAAGTATAAAAACCCAAACCCCCGTTGTGTAAAAAATCAGGCGAGACGTGTGTGTATAACAAATGGCAGCTGAATGAGGTTTTCCATTCATAAGCACAGTTTACTCTGCTGAGTGGTATCCATGCACGGTCACGCACCGTCCCACTCTGATGCAGCGTGTAAATCTTTAACTTAAACAGACCTTTGCTCCAAAACTGGAAGCCTGAACTCTAACCTGAGCCTGCACAATCACCACGGTTAAAAGCAAAGTCGGTTTGAATTTAATATGAAAATGCGACGCTGAAAGAAGGAGAAATACCAGGAAATCTTTCCGTGTTTGACTTTAACACACTTTAAAAGGAAAAAGACAGCAAATAAATAGGGAAAGTATCTCCAAGCAGCAGATCTACCTCTTAAATAAAGTAAATATTGCAGGAATTTTTCTTACATTACACATTGACCATCACAACAGATTCATTCACAGAATCTTGAGAGTGGAAAAAATGACCAACCTGTTGGACGCCGCAAGAGGCAGGTAAAGACTGAAAGGTGAAAAGGAAGTAGGGGAAAAATATTAACAGGGTGTGTCAGCCGGGAGTCTTAGCGCCATCTTATGGACAGAAATGACAACAGTTCAGTCACAGAAAACAAGGGAGGGAAATCATCCTTTATTTGTCTCCATTGAAGTTGAATACAAAGCATGAGAAAGGATAAGGAGCTCTCAGTTCAGCTATAACCAGGAGAGAGGAGTTAAACTGAGCTAAACTGGGTGATTTAGACATGTTGGATGACAAAATATTTCCCTTCCTGTGTGTCAGAGCTTGGTGAACGTGATCCTCGGCGGAGTCTCTGGCTGCAGGATGAGGGTGAGGTTGGTTTTGATGTCCTCTGTGGACGGCACGCTGAGATGGAAGTTGAGCAGGATCTGAACAGAAAGAGGAGGATGAAGGCAGGGGAGAGGAAAGAGGAGAGGCAGAGCAGACTTTAGAGGGATTAAGCTTAGTGCTTCAGATTTTTTTCTTAATTCTTTTCATTTTATACTGCTTCATTTTATTTATTTACTTTAAATTAAAAATGACTTCAGCAGGTAAAACAGGACCCTGCACAACCAACAAGAAATCAGCAAGTAGTTTCTAAGTCAACAACAAAACACGGTAACGGTTTATTTGAAGGTGTGTGCGTAAGACTGACATCACTGTCATAAACATGACAGTCATGAACAGGAAGGAATCTTCATGAATGTTTACAATTGTTGTCATGAAGTGTCACTCAGTAAATAGTGACACTATTGGTGCAAAGTTGCACTAAAGTTGCACTAAAGGTCCATGAAGCTTGTAAACTTTGCACCATTTGTCTTTTCCAGCAGGCATTGTGCAGCACACACGGCTATAAAACCAGCTGACAAAAGGTGCTGGATTTCCATTTGGGTTGCTAGGTGACTGGGCTGGGTTCTGCTGCGGTTGCTAGGTAACGGCACAGAGTGACTTAGCAGTTTTTTAGATTTTTGAAGCAGGTCGTCTTTCAGACACCAGAAAGCATTGAGTTGTTGCCAACAGAACAGCTGGGTGTTTTTATTTTTTATGCTTGGGGTATTGAGAAATAGCTGAGACTCAACTTTACATTCAGGATTTTTACCAGCATATTCCTGGATTTATCTGTGTCTCTGGTAGTTCTACTTAACAGCATACAGTGGTTAAGATAGTACTATCTTCTATCTTTTCCCCAACTCTTTGCTTTCATTTCCCCCCTCATCCTCGTTCTCTTCCTCCTTCTCTGTCTGTTCTGACTCACATGCATGAGCAAGAGTTGCATCTCGTTCTCAGCAATCCTCCTCCCGACACACTGCCTGGCCCCAAACCCAAAGGCCAGAGAGCGAAACCCCTGCCCCTCTCCTCTCCGCCCGTCCTCCTTGCTGCTGCCGCCCCAGCGGCCCGGATCAAAACGCAGCGGATCCTCGAACACCTGGGAGCTCCTTCCCATCGGATACAGGCAGGCCTGGACCATCGTCTGCAGATGAGATGACAAACTTATAACCATCATGTTTTAGGACATGTTGGGTAGGCATGCAAAGTGGGTGACACTTACCCCTGCAGGTATGTGGTAGTTCTGGAGAACAATATCTCTGACAGGATACCTCTGCACTGTGATTCCCACCGGGTACAACCTGGCACAAACCAATAAGCACTGATATTTCTAGCTATTCAAACCTTTTTTCTTGTCAATTAATTCCTAACACAACCTCAGGTGTCCCTTTAATGAAAGCACATACTCCAGGAAGCTGTTCCCAATCTCTGATTGCTTTTTCTGCTCTACTGGTCCAAAGGAATAAATTATCCATTACTGGAGGATATTTCTGTTTCAAAGTCACAGCTGCTGCTGGTGTTTTTTGTTTTAGTAATTTAAAGATAATTACTGAAAGTCGTTGCTTCGAATCAAAATATTGATTCAAAATGAAATCATTAAAAACCCAGTTTAGTTGCTTTAATGTATAAGACATAAAAACAGATTTTTTTTGGTTGTGTTGTGTTGCAGATGCAGTTTACCACTTTATTGAAAAACAAAATTAAACACTATATAATTTCTTTGTTTTAATATTCTCTATTCTAAAGTTTTTTTTCTCCAAATAGTCTTAAAAAACACATCTGAGAGCAAAACTTGAATTAAATCCGTTCCTATTAAAGGTGGAAAGGCGATTCAAAAAATAATTTGGAACCATAAAACTTTAACAAAACACATCAAGAAGATTTACTTCATCATTTAAAAAAAAACTCCTCAGAAAAATATTCATGAGGCAACAAAAGAAATCCCAAAGCATAAAAGTTGAAACAGCTGCTTGACATGAGAACTCAAAGGCAACTTTTACTCATCAGACTATCTGGGTTTATTCAAGTATTTTCTTGCTTTAAAATACTGGTCTTTGCATCAGGAGAGAAAAAAAAAACTGTATCAGAAAATAGAGTTGGATGTCAACAGACCAAACAACATGATGGATGGATTTTAACTTAATGGTTTTAATGACTAGCAAAAAAAAAAAAAAAAAAAGTAATACAATGGATATTAAACAAGTCAACGAAAATACATTTTTGATTTCATTTTGCTGCATGTGGCTTTTATGATCACTTAATATCCTTTTTGTTTCACTAATTAATGTAAAATCAGATTCTTTATTAACCCACAGATTAATTTAGTATCCCTCCATATACACCGTAAAGCTTTGATCATTTTGATTTCTTTGAGCTTTTTGTGCAGTTTGATGTGCATTTTTTTCCACTGTCTTAACTCTGGTAACTGCTGAGTCATTTGCATGGTGAGACTTTTTGCCTGGTCTCAGAAATGGAAATTGTAAAATGATTCCACATCTTTTTACTCTATTGAGCTGAAAATAATTATCCATTAATCCCAATGACTTCGCTGAACTTCATGACAACTGACTGAATTTGTCTGTTGTTGAAGAAAAATCCAGCAAAAGCGCCAGAACAGATTTAAGTGTTGGATCAAAGTACCTGAGAACCTCTTTGATTGTGGCTTTCAGCAGCGGCGCCCCCTGCAGGGCTTTCTGAGGATCACCGCCGGCCTGTGAGCACGACGTCCTCACCTGCTGCCTGACCCTCTCCTGCACCTCGGGGTTGCGTCCCAGCTCAAACAGAGCGAACTGCAGAGGAACGGCCGTCTGCAGAGAGGATTGAATGAGACGTGACACGGACTCTGGCCATGAACAATTATCACGTGGACAAGCAAACACACACACACACACACACACACACACACACACCGTGTCCACTCCTCCAGCCATCAGCTCAGTGATGTTGGCTTTGATGAGGTCTAAAGATAGCTGTCCTTTCTCCATGAGTTGCCCCAGAACGCCAGTGTACTGGCCCCCAGCTGCCCCGGTGGCAGAGCGGCGAGCCTTGGAGGAGGAGAGCCGCTGATAGGCCCTCTGGATCCTGGCCTGAGCTTGAAGAAGCAGAATAACTGAGTTAGGGGGAAAGCAGCAGCTGAGTAAAGATGTCATTCTAAACCACGCATGTCCAAAGTGCGGCCCGGGGGCCATTTGCGGCCCTTGGAGTGATTCTAGGTGGCCCTTGGTCGCAATTTAACAAGGGCTTAAATTTGGTTTCCCAGGCAGTTGATGCAGATCCTCATTTAAAAACAATGTTAGGGTGAATTTATCACTGATGTCCGACATTTCAAAGAAGATATAGACAATTTAACATTTTACAATAAAAAATGCTTTTATTTCTTAATTACATTTAATTAGTTTTAATACTGAAAGGGACTTCCATTTCATAAACTTGGCAAAATAAATCAAGAGTGAGCCACATCCTGTTTTTGTTGCTGAAACATCTAGAAAAAGCAACTCAGTCTGAAAAATGTAGAATATGGCTAATAGTTGTTCTTTTTTAAAATGTATTTCTGGTCAACAAAGCAGACACATCTTATGTATTTGACTTATTTGCTTATTTCACTAAAACACTATGTGTTTAGAAATGTCTGTGGCCCTCATTGTGAATTCAAATTGACATTTTTGGCCCTGCCAAAACATTTGGACACCACTGTCCTGAGCTAATCAAAGCCTTGCCGCTTCCCACCATGAGTGAAGATGTGGTCCCAGGCTGTGGCGTGTTGGGTCCACAGGGGCGCGCCGATGCGGAGCAGCAGGCGAGGGGGCAGGTACAGGAGTGGAGGGGTAGTTGTCAGCATTCGCTCCACTGCCCAGATGAACTTCTGAGACTCCAGAGAAGGAGAGGAGGAGAAGAGGCCGATGCGTTCCCCGTAGATCACATGGCAGCTGGCTGCAGAGGCGAGGAAAGAAGAGAAGGTGGGAGGACGAGACAGATGACTAAAACAACACTTAACTGAACATTAAATCGTCAGTGCTTTTAATTCAGTGTTAAAACCTTCGGCAAATTATTTTCAGCTTGTGAACTGACGATTCACAGCAATATAGCAAAGTCTTCAAATGTATTTATTGTAAAATAAATTCTAAAACGTGTGGCAAGCATTTGTATTCAGTCCCTTTTACTCTGATACCCATAGACTAAATCCGGAGTGATCTTCTCATAATTTTTCAATTTAATTCAGTAGGGGTGAAATCCGCAAAGATAAAAGCAATACTAAAGCTTTGAACATCCCACAGATAAATGTTCAATTCATCACCCAAATAAGAACGAGTGAGGCAGAAGAAAGTGCTCTGGTTCGATAAGACAAAATATTAATGTGTGTAGGAAAACAAAACAAGAAATCACCTGAACACATGATTTCTATGCTGAAACACAGTGGTGGCAGCATCATGCTGTAGGGTTTTTGTCAAAATTGATGGAGGAAAATGCAAAGATAATCCGGATGGAAAATTACCAAAATCAGACAGATCAACGTAGATCCATCTGTTACAGTGTCCTAGTCAAAGTCCAAATCCTGTAGATTAGTATTGGCTAAACATGAAAACTGCACTGAATACCAGAGGTGGGCAGATCTGTTCAAAATATCAATACTGAATCAATACGAGCATGTTAAGATCAACAGTTTTAAATTCCAAGTTGAATTTTAAAAAAAATTTTCTTTTAATTTCTCCACAAAAAGCTTTTGTTTTGATATCTTGCAAATTATCAATTTTTTTGTACTTTATTTATTTAGGAAAAATGAATGGAAATCATGTTAAAATGTTATTTAATTTTGAAGATTTCTATAAACTTTGTCAAAGTTTCGTCTTAGATTTGACCAAAATAATTCAAAGGAAAAAGTCAAATATTTGACGATATATCAAACGTAAACAAACCGCATCGTATTGGTGTTGGTATTGACAATATGCGCCTTGCATTTCCTTGGTATTGGATCTATTGCACACCTCTTCTGAATACAAATGCATGCCCCACTTTTCAGATTTCTATTTGTGTAAATGTGATGTAATCTTCTCCAGTCCACTTCCCAGTGATGCTTCACAAGAATCCCCAACAAACACCCTGAAGTTTTATGTTATGTGACAAAATGTGAAAATGTTTTGCACAATGATGATTATTTCACTCTGAATGTGTGGAGTCCATCTGCACGTTTCTCTGCTGTTTCATTTGTAAATGCAAAGCGAAGCCGGGCTGTTGTCTTGGAGAAGCTGCGGTTCGTTTCCTCACACATTCAGCTAATGTCAGACGTGCTCGCGTTTCCTTATCCTCACATAAACCTCCTGGGCTGAGTTTCACTGGAGCTGACTCCTCGTCTGGCTTTGCACCTTCCTTGCGCTGCGGTCCATTCAGATCAGAGCCACATGACTAAGTTATCGTCTTCACACTGAGTCACAGAGGAGGGGATTCACACTCCCAAATGTGGCGGCGGAGCAGAGAGACGCAAGAAAGACTGCAGCTTTGATCATTTCTGATGTTTAAGGAACAAGTTCTCCTTGACCTCCTGCTTCATCAAAACAATACGCCTCGGGTCAGACTGACGTTCGGCTCACGTACAATCTGTAAATACATTCCCTTTATTAAGGCTAAGATGATTGGTTCAGTGGAATTGTACTGAACATCTCCAAAGGGTGATATTTTTGTAAGCCGTGTAAATCCTCTGACGTCAGAAGTTGCTGCAGCATCCGCGTCAGCATTTGTGACTGGAATTGCTGATTTTTGGTTTACAAAAAGACAAAAGTTTACTAAATATTTTTGGTTTCTCTTGCAAATATCTCAGTACACTTGAAATAAAATAAATCTCACTAGCACGGAACTCGTCAGCATGAAACATAGGAGTTTTGAAAAGCAAATAATTAATGGATATGGATGAAAAAAGTAGCAGTGATAATAAGACATTTTGCCCATATTATAAGGTAAATTATCTTTTATTCCACCAGCAGATTATTTCTCCTTTTTCATCAGTATTAAGAAATTATTTACTTTAAACAAACTCTTATATCTTGCTGAAAAGGTACTTATAAGTCAGCACTCTTATTTCAAGAGTGCTGACATATTTGCACAAGAAACTAGACCAAGAGTACTTGGTAAGTTTTTGTGTTTTTTGCTGTGTGGGGTTTAATATACTGCCCTCCTTTACTTTTCAAACTATTATGACCTTTATGGGTGCTTCAGCTAATGAAAAAGCGTGATGAAGACGGTCCCTGACCTTCCAGCGCGAAACGGAAAAGGTCAGGGCTGGGATCGATGGTGAGGCTCCGCTTGCCCTCCTCTCCTCGCCCTTCCTTCTCCACCCTGGCCTGCAGCATGCCACAGAAGTCCTTCGACACCTCGTCGAGGAGAGGAAGGAAACGCCTCACAGACGCGCTCAGCATCACCTCCTTGTTCAGCTGAAGGCGGTCAGACCTCCACTCCTCACCATTCCTGGACATAGCAGAGTGGCAGGGAAGCAGAGAAGTAAAGGACGTTTCCAGTGATAAAAGGAAGTAAAGTCTTACTTTTGTTTGTCTTCTGTAACCATAATAACCTCTTTTTTAAACCCAGATCAACAGCAACTACAACCATGTAGACTAGATTCAATAAATCCACTCAGTCATATTAAGTTTTATTCCACTTGATTTCGCTTGAGTGGAATTTGTAGCTTCTCAACCTTATAATATATTTCGACAGATTTACTGTGTTTTATACTGCCTGTCATGTGATAGACCAGCTGTGGATGATATGGACTTAAAAATTTATCATGAAATATTTTGGTGCTATTGTGATAAAAATAACTTTGAGAACTATTTCTCACTTCTTTTTAAATAACTGTATAGCTGTGACTGCAATCGCAGAGCCACAAACACAAATACTGCTCTTGAGAAACATGACCAGTTGTCACCATGCTACTTTATAACACCACTCACATTAAGAAGTGTGATTTGTATCCCTAAACTGCTCACAGTAATTGCATTTAATCATATTTTTTATATTTATTGGTATTTATTGAGAAAAAACAATACATATTTTTTTTCATTGGTTTAACTGTTTGTTCAATAGCAAAACTAACAATCCTGACAATACAGACAGTATTGTTGTTTTTTAAACATCATTGATTTAAATTTATTGTCACAACAATAAAAATCAAAATTCTCATCATGAGACGATAAATAATAAACAATTCGATAATTCCTTCCCCAGTAAAGGACCAACGCAAAGTAGAAACTTTTGACAAATAATTGTCTGAAAAGTCTGACCAGCTTTTCTCTCTCTGCTAAAAAAAAATGCATCCCATCAGCATGATGCTGCCACCACCTTGTTGCACTGAGCTGATGACATTTCAAACTGTAAATATTACATCTTATGGCTGCTGATACTGATACAGACTATATATCGATATTATCAATACTTTCGATCTATCTGCTCACCTTTTAACCAGTTTAGATTGACTATTATGTGCTGTGTGGCTCGATCTGTCTGCTGCGTACTTTGTTAAGTCTAAATATAAAGACAGGAACATTTTTCATCTTTTTATTTAAAAACAATGAAAGGGATGCATCATTTTCATGTCACTATTCTCAACCACTGTTTTTTGATCTATTGCGTAAAATCCCAACAAAATACTTTGACGCTGTTTTTTTTTTTGTAAAGTTAGAAGATGTGGAAATGTGAAAGAGGCATGATAGTAACCTGAATCTTACTAAATAAAGCATGTGAATAAAGATTGACTGTCATTAGAAGGATTTTGTGCAGAATCATGGAAATGGTTCAAATCACAACACTGATGTTTTTCTCCAGCATTCAGTTTCCAGATGTAAGAAAAACAATAAACTTTGTCAACTTTGTCAAACTCTATCGGATTGAAGAGAAGAAGCTGCTTGGTCAGGCGTTTAGAGATGAGATGATGCATCTGACCTTTACCAGGTTTTCCACCTGAATTAATTACGCAGTTTTCAGTCCAATAGGAAATTCACATTAGTTTGGTATTCAAGGGCTTTTGTGATGAGAAAACACAATGAAAACAAACATTTTTTATGCTTTTTTAAAAATCTTTTCTTTAAAATATTCTCTCAGACTGAAAGAAAGAAAGATTTTATATCCAGCTAGAGACCTAAATCACATATTTTATGAGAAGTTTCTATCATAACATTTTAATGTATTGACGACAGAACTTTTATTTTCATAAAAATAAAACAAAGTTATTTTTTTCTTTTTCTTTTTTTTTGCTGGCTTAACTGTGAGAACTGTTTGTTTTTTTCCATTGTTATAAATAAGAAACTCTTGTAAAGCCTCTGGATTCTAAGATGTCCATAAAATAAATAAAGTCTGGCAGTTTTATGTTGTGAAACTATCAGATATTTTGACTCTAACTGTAAATAAGAGACATTGCATGGTCTGAACTCAAGTACGAAATGAAAAGCTTTCAGGGATGAAAACATATTTGGAGTTGACATGTTGACATGTTTTGATTTTGCACTTCTTTTCTTTGCTTCTTTGAAATGCCAGGATGATTTTCAGTCATCCTGGCATTTCAAACATGTTACTATCCAAGCGTTTTCTGAGTGGGACGAAGGACCGGAAGGTAAAACATACTGCGCGTCATTTCATCCAACTTGGCTCACATTTTATGCAAACATAAACTGCCACAAGTTAAAATTTATCACCAGATTGCACTGCAATGTGTCTAAAAAGTCTCTGCAGTCAGAAAGGAAGTGAGTATTTCCTCAACAGGAGAGATTAAAGCGCAGACGGGGCACTGACTTGAGGAAGACTCCCTTGTTGTGGTTGCGTATCTCTCGGTGTGTGGCCCACGGCTGCAGGGTCATGCGTCGAGGGTGCAGCCCCTCCGACTGAAACAGCTCGCTGATGTCAGACGGTAACAAGATGTTCACGCTGCTAAGAGTGCCCACCTTCTCCCTTTCAACACAGACAGAGGAGCTGGTGTGAGAACAAATGCACAACGTCGTGGGCGGCTCTAGACCGGGGCCATCAGGAGGTCAGTAGGGGAGATGAATGATGAAATCCGTTGGCACAGAAACCGCAACCAATTGGTCGTTTAGAGAAACTTCACTTTATATCTTCACGGTTTCACAGTTTTAGGTCTTTGATGTTTAGGATATTTATTATCAGAGCTTTAAAACCAATTATATAATTAAAAACACACATCATAGAAAAGAAATTATTAAGATATGTGACAGATTTAAAATCAATAAAATAATTAGTTCTAGTTCATACAAAATGCTCATGTTGGTTATAGGTATTGATTACCTATAACCTTGTAACCAGCTAAAATAAGCTGGACATCCTTAAAAGATGTTGAGCTTATTTTTAAAAACCAACTTTCTGTCAGCTTTTATGAGAGTTAATGATAAAAGTGTCAAATTCTTTCATTGCTCTGTTTCTCTTTTAGCTTCAGCCATTTTGAGACAATAATTGTGTTCTGCTGTCAGGGGTCTGCAACCTGCAGCTCCAGAACTACAACTGGCTCTTTGCCTCACTTCACATGTTCAACAATGATTTGTTTTGTTTTGTTCAATCTTTTGGAGATTGAACTGGTCGCTTCATGGCCCCCTCTGATGAATTTGGTCTAGAACCGCCACTGAACCTCATACAGCACAAACAATACATCTCTCTGTACCTGTAAATGGGTCCGAGGACATTGAAGGTCCGCTCCATGTGCTTGTGAAGCTGCTGGAAACGGTTTTCTCTCCAGAACTTCAGCAGGTTGATCCAACCATTCCTCCCAGTATGAGGGATCTCCTCAAAGCCTCTCACCCGTCCGTCCACACCGCCTCTTCTGACCGCTTTCAGAGCTCCTTTGCCTCCTTCCAGGTTAGCAGGCACCACAGTCCCAGCTGCAGTCATGCAAAAACCCTTTTGAGGTAGAACGCCTAAAAACCTGGACCCAGATGTTCCCTGTACTCTCCTCATGGTCCAACCGCGACGTGTCAGTCACTCTCATCTAAAGTTGTCAGGACTGGTTACGTTCCTGCTCTACTTCCAGCCTCTCAGGGCCTTGGATGTGTATTTTTATTGCTCTAATGAACCGATAGGAGGTGGTGATTTATTAATGCGAGCATCAGAGTTCAAGAGAAAGACAACAGAGCCAGAATGTTCACACAAAACAGAGAAACACCAGCTGGACAACAAAAATGTCTTCAATAAAATTTTCCACTACAGTAAATTCTTGTTACAAGGTTATTTTATTCGCTTCCTGTTTGATATAAAAACCTTCAACAAGCCTAATTGCTTACTAAAATTAGCTTAACAGCAAAAAATTGAATAAAATAAGATAAGAGCATAAACTTTGGTTCACAAACAGAACACACATACAGAGTCCTGATAAAGTATTCTGCCCCATATCAACCTTTTTCCCTTTTCTGTCACACTTACATGTTTCAGATCAAATCAATTGTAATATCAAAGATAACCAGAGTAAATCCAAAAATCTTTCAATGACTGATGACTAGCAGACCTAAAAAAAAAAATAAAAAAAAAACCTATCAGGCCCCAATCTAAAGAGATTCTCGGTATGGAAAGGGAAAAAAAGTTATATAAGGCTTTAAATTCCAGTGAAGAAAGGTAAGAGTCATTATCTGCAAATAAAGAAAACATGGAACAGCTTTAAACCTTCCCAGGAGTGACCAGCTGACCAAAATTACTCTAAGAGACCAGCAACACATGACCAAGAACACAATCTAAAGCACTGCAAAGCTTCCTGACTGACTGCATGTCATTATTCCTCATTTACCAATAAAATGGCTTCAGTTTTGACAAAAATTAACATTTTCCAAAAACATCTTGTAGATCCTCCAGATCCACAGAAAAAGGGAACTAAGAAAGTAAAAAAAAGTGCAGAAGTTTACAAAAGTCGAGCGTCACTTTAATCTGGTAAAACTAGCAAAGCCGTCAGCGCTTGACCTTTGACCAGGACCATGACCCAAAGCACACCATTAGGTTCACCTCTGAATGTCTCAACAAATACAGTTTTGGCTCGGCAGCTAAAGAGTCTGGAGAGTCAATTCTCCAGATGAAAAGAGGAACCGGATGTCTCCATCGTGATGGAAAAGACTCGTCAACAGTGGTTGTTTCACATGGAGTCTGGTCAGTTTGGACTTCAAAATTGTGTTTATAAATACTCTGGTTTTCTTTTTCCTAATATTTAAATTTTTTCTGATGATTTCAAACATTTAAGCTTGACAAAATGGCAACAAATAAACCCCAACAAATCTGACATTTTACAGCACTGAACATATTTACAGTTAGTCAATGAAAAGAAATTATGCAACAACATAAAGTTGAAAAACATTTAACATTTTATACAATTGTATCCCTGAGGTTCCTTACTTGTGTATAGATCACCAGTTGGATCTATAATGTTTACTGAGCAGCATCATTAGCCAGGCTGCTGCCCACCTTCCCCACTAAGTAATTAGACTAATAAAACAATAACAATATATTGTTTATAATAATAAAATAACATCTGCCATCAAATACCTGCTCATCTCTGTTGATGGGCTAGCTAGCACTAGTAGTAGAGCGCAGTTAACCCCTACAGGAAGCTAGAAAAGTTGCAGTTGTTAAAACATCTGCAACAAAGCCACAGGTCAAGATAATGGAGATGAACTTGTTATTCATGATGCTTCACACAATATTCCACTATATTGAGTTCAAAAAGTAATGTGGTGGTCATGTGAAACATATTAAATATATAAGCAATATATAGAGATTGTGTGGTGGCTCAAAATATCAGCGGTATTTGTTTCGTACGGCAGCAGAGTTTAAAGTAAAAAGAACAGAAAACAAAGGTTTATCCATGCACACCATTCATAACGCTAGGAGAATATTCAAGGCCACAAAGTTTCCATCCATTTTATATATATATATATATATATATATATATATATATATATATATATTATATATATATATAATATATATATATATATATATATATATATATATTGAGATCTTATGAATTGAACTGACTATATTTTAATTCAAGCAATTTGTACATTTACTATAAAGCAATCCCTAAAGTAAATGTTTCCATTATTTCCATTTATTTGCAGTTTTGGTATCAAAGTTATTCTGCCACTGATTTTAATTTTTTTTTTATTTAATTGTGTTTAATATGTATATTTTCTAACCTCAAAGTCTATATTTTCTAACCAACAGAGTCGCATTTGGTAATTTTGTCAGTAGCTGAGATTGAAATAAGCCTCTAATATCATAGAAAAAAAAAACTATATTTTACACCATCACACACTAACAGTTCTTTCTGTTAATCAATACAGAGACGATCACATGACCCTACAAGAGTCTCTGTGAGTTGGCGTTGGTGTCCTGCTGGGTTTCCCTCCCGTAAACACCGCCCTGCTGATGCCGAGGCCTTGGAAAGCGCTAAGCAGGTTGAAGCTGTCGTCCTTGGTTCTGGTTTCAGGATGAATCATCTTCGACAGCTCAGGGGGGAGCGATGCTTTGCCGCCAACAAACCTCAGGTGGTTTGTGTCCTCAGGGCTCTGAATCATGTTGGCAAAACAAAACAGGAAAAAGGGCTGAAGGCCACAAAAAGGTGACAGAAACAAGAACTGAACTCTCAGTGTAATTTATGTAAATGCATATAAATAATTTAATAAATAACATGTATTTTCAGCCTTAAATTGAGTCTGAGAGTGCAAACTTTTTAAAGTATTTAACTTAGGTGCTCAAAGGTGGCTAAAAGTTTAATTAAGTGCTAAATAGATGAATAGTTCCTAAAACAGCAATCAGTAGCTAAGAAAGCAGGTAAATCTGTGAGGATGATCGATCAGTCGACGGAGTCTTCAGGCTGATTCTCAGTTTCCTCTCTTCCTTTCAAAGTCTGTGTTATAAATGTTAACATCAATATTTATTGGTATGTCTCTTCACATACTGTCTTTTTGATGGGTTAGAGTTAGGGTTAATCACTCCAGTTTTTAGTAGAGCTGATTCCATATTCATCTGAATCTAATCTAAAGTTAAAACGAATACCAGACGCTAAGGGATGCAACAGCTCTTTACTTTCATATTTGTTATTTTTGTCAGCTTCAACAAAAGAAATTGAGAAAAAATTTAGCTTTCTGAAAGCATTCTGTTACCAAATTTATAAGCATCTAACAGAACATGTTCAGTGGTTTTAATCTACAGAAAAACTCCTCCTCTAACCTAAAACAGAGATTGAATTGCGGTGAGTTTGGTGTCTTGTTTTCCTCACACACCTCTGAGAGTCGATATTTTCTCCTGAAGTGAGCTCTCATCGCTGCCCTCTGTGCGTTCTTCTGTGTGTTCATGGCCTCCCGCAGCTTTCTGGAAATATTTCAGACACAGTTCAGCTGAAGCGTCACTTCAGTCGCTGCACAGAGGATACGAGTTAAAATGACATGATGCAAACACAGCTGGTCGAACAATGCATGTTTGAATATTCAATCACTGTTATTGTTGGGCTTTTCTATCTTTTCTACATTTTTCTTTTTACTAATTGTGAACCAAAGTTTCTGAATCGGCTTTAAAAAAATGAATAGTTTAAGTCGATTGTTGCCTGGATATGTTCACTGTAGTTTACAGCAGAGTTGATTAAAAACAGTTTAAATTTCCTGCAGTTCTGCTTTAGGCCGCTAGGTGACGGTGCAGCGCCCATCGATTGTGACTTAATGATAAAAATAATAAGAAGGTTTTTGAAACTGTTGTTTTCCAGACACCACAAACATGAAGTCATTTTCAAAAACACTGGTGGGAGCTTTTTTGAGAGTTTGGACTATTTTTAGAAGAACTTTAGACCCAAATGGAAGAACAAAAATGTGGAAGATATGAATGTCTTTGTCATTTGGTCTTCATGTTGCTGTTTGTTCCTCAGAGATCTTCACAGCTAGATTTAAACTGAGATTAAATTACACACAGGTGGATTTGATTTACTAATTGAGTGACTTTTGGATATAAATACAAACTACAATTTTCTTATTTTTCTTGTTTAAAAATTTTTAACACTTATTAATGACCCATTTTCAGTGAATTAGTCAAAATTTTTTAGAATGTGTTGCTGGCAACAAAATCCAAATAAGTTAAGATTTGCAAAAAACAAAGATTTCTGTTTGAACATTAAACATCTTTTCTGAGGTTGAAAAGGATTTGCAAATCACTTTATTCTGTTTTTGTTCGTCTTTTACACAACATCCCAACTTCATTGGAACTGGGGATGCAACATTTTTGCTCCACTTCATCAGAATTAACCTCTCTGAGTAAAATAAGGTTTGTTGCTGTCACAAGTTATTCACAAAATGTGAATGATGTCAAAGGTATCAATATTTTTCAAAGAAAGTGTGAGTAGTTTCTTCCTTCTTTGTTTCTAACTGTGTGGACTTGCCTCTGTTTCTCCAGGTCGGCCTGGTACGACCGAATCACTGAAGGGTCTTTGAGCTTCGAGGCCTTTAATGGCGGGGTCTTCCCCAGCAGGTTGCACCTTCTCTTGCCCCTGCCCTTCTTCCCTCTGGGTCTCGCACACAATCGTTTTTCCTTCGGCCCCGCCACGCAGCTGGTCAGCCTCCTCATGGGCGACCTCAGCGACTTCTTCAGTCTCGCCACGGACTCCATGATGCGGTTCGGCCGGCGGAGAGGGATCGGCCACACCCCTATTTCCTCGACAGCTGACGTGTGGAAGTGTAATGGCTTTCTCCTTCACTCATGTTGTATTAGTCTGGCAGTCTGATGCGTCTCAGCAATAACTCAGGCTGAGACCTACCAAGGACAAGGACAAGGAGTTGGACAAGGCTCAGACGCTCAGGTGTGGGCCTCCCACGCCCCGCTTACACACACATATGAAGCGTTTATCATCAGCAATACGTCTGGGAATCAGAAAGTTAAAACACACACAAGGACAAAAAATGACAAACGTCTCTCAATTTATTCCACATGATATTGATGAGGTTGTTTATCCAGACATCTTAAAACACTACGTAGAGATTTCTTACCCTTCCAG